ACAGAAGAAGCTATTGCTGCTGTAGAACGTAGCATTGAGGAAGATCCGAATGAGTCCATCCGCCATCGAGCACAAGAATTGGATGTGTCCATCCACTTTATGGAAGATTTTGCGGAAGGATCTTGGTTTACGTGCTGACAAAATCCAACTCGTACAAGAATTGAAGCCAAACGATCATCAAGTAAGGCGTAGATTCGTCGAATGGGCCCAAAACGAGATTGCCGTTGTTCCCTATTTTCATAAGCCAATTTTGTTTATCGATGAAGCGCACTTCTGGTTGAATGGCTACGTCAACAAACAAAACTGCCGCATTTGGAGCGAAACTAATAATCAAGTGTATTCGAAATACTGTTACATCCAGAAAAACTGACTGTTTGGTGCGCTTTAAGGGCTGGTCGAACCATTGGTCCGTACTTCAAAAACGATGATCGCCAGAACGTTACAGTCAATGGTGATCGGTATAGAGCTATGATTACTAACTTTTTCATTCCTGAATTAAATAACCATAATGTCCAGGAGATGTGGTTTTAACAAGACGGCGCAACATGTCACACCGCTCGTGCCACAATTGATTTATTGAAAGACACGTTTGGTGACCGCCTAATTTCACGTTTTGGACCTGTGAATTGGCCTCCAAGATCTTGTGATTTAACACCGCTAGACTACTTTCTGTGGGGCTATGTAAAGTCATTGGTCTAGGCGGATAAGCCACAAACGCTTGACCATTTGGAAGACAACATTCGCCTTGTTATTGCCGATATACGGGCACAACTGTTGGAAAAAGTCATCGAAAATTAGACTTCCAAATTGGACTATGCCCGCGCCAGCCGTGGCGGTCATATGTCAGAAATCATATTTAAAATGTAAAAATCTTTCGGATAAATAAAATTCATGTCAATCCAATGATCCATCGTTGCTTTATTGCAACTTAAAGTTCTATACATCGAAAAAAAAAACACCCCGTATTTGGACACCCACCTACAGGGTTAATTTTGATAGATAGAAAAAAAGTGTAAATACAAAAGTTTAAAGATGTTTGCTCTACTATCTTATGCAAATGCCAGAAAGAATAAACGACAATCGCAAGCTGCCAAAATTACAACAACAAAACATATAGTCTATTGACATTTCATTTAGTCGTTTTTCAGATATATCAGTGTAAAAATAATTATCATTCGATTTCTGGACAATAGCCATATTGTTGATGGCGACCATATTTTATCTATGAAATTTTTTTAAAAATATTCTGCTTTTGACAACTAATCAAAACTAAAGATCTGCAGCGTAAGTTAAATATCTTAAGATATTTCAAATGGGTTATACTGAGTAATAAAAACGCCAAATAATAGAATTGTATTATTCAAGCGGAATAAATGAATACATCCTGATGAAGACCTGCTTTCAAGGTAAATTAGGTATAGGGGCAAGAACATTTCCGTTGTGCAAAAGACCAGCTTTAAGGCTGCGATGAGTCAATAAAAAGTCTCCAGTCCTAATAATTGTAGTCTGCACCAAGTTTCTTCATTAGATTGGGAATATCGGTACTATAAACAACCGCTTTGTTAAAAAGATGTGGCTGAAGTTAGATTTGGATTTGGATTCGGATTTGAGAATATTACAGTGGACCAGTTCGTTTTTTACAGTAATTAAAAAAATGTATCCCTGTGGAAATGCCGGGAAATTAAGCACGGAAATATTGTAATGGAACTCCCAAAGGCCATATTCAATGTCGCTATACAGAAAATAACACCTTTGCGGCTCGTATCACAGCAAATAATAATTTAACTAATATTTCGCAACCTTGAAAAAATCTGAAAATGTCCCAGATGTTCAACCAGACCATTGAAGAGATACTTTATAGAGCTTCAAAATAATGTATTACTCAACCACCTTGAAACTGTCGCAAATATACAAAACTACCCCCAATTATGAAATACCAAAAAGTTCGTTTTATTTATTTCGAAATCTCAAAAAAATGTGTCTTTGTTCCAGCTATTGAATTAGGCAAATAAATAGCCACTTAGAAAAGCTTCAAAATGATGTACTACTCAACCATCTGGAAACGGTCGCGAAGGTATAAAACTACCCCCAAGAATGAAATAACCAAATGTTCGTTTTATTTATTTCGAAATCTCAAAAAAATGTGTCTTTGTTCCAGCTATTGAATTAGGCAAATAAATAGCCACTTAGAAAAGCTTCACAATGATGTACTACTCAACCATCTGGAAACGGTCGGGAAGGTATAAAACTACCCCCAAGAATGAAATAACCAAATGTTCGTTTTATTTATTTCGAAATCTCAAAAAAATGTGTCTTTGTTCCAGCTATTGAATTAGGCAAATAAATAGCCACTTAGAAAAGCTTCACAATGATGTACTACTCAACCACCTTGAAGCGGTCGGGAACTTATTAAACTACCCCCAATAATGAAGTAACCAAATGTTCGTTTTATTTATTTCGAAATCTCAAAAAAATGTGTCTTTGTTCCAGCTATTGAATTATGCAAATAAATAGCCACTTATAAAAGCTTCACAATGATGTACTACTCAACCACCTTGAAGCGGTCGGGAACTTATAAAACTACCCCCAATAATGAAGTAACCAAATATTCGTTTTATTTATTTCCGAACCTCAAAAAACCTGACATTGTCCAAGATATTGAAGTAGACCATTGAAGAGCTACTTATGAGAGCTTGCAAATGATGTACTACTCAACCACCTTCAAGCGGTCGGGAAGGTCTAAAATTACCCCCAATAATGAAATAACCAAATATTCGTTTTATTTATTTCGGAATCTCAAAAAACCTGTTGGTGTCCCAGACATTGAATTATACCATTAAAGAGCCACTTAAGAGAGCTTCAAAATAATGTATCAATCAACCATCTTGAAGCGGTCGGGAAGATATAAAACTACCCGCATTAATGAAATAACCAAATGTTCGATTTATTTATTTCGGAATCTCAAAAAAAGCTGACGTTATCCCAGATTTGAAATTAGACCACCGAAGAGCCACTTAGGTGAACTTCAAAACGAAGTATTACTCAAACACCTTGAACCGGTCGGGAAGATATAAAACTACCCCAAATAATGAAATAACCAAATATTCGTTTTATTTATTACGGAATGTCAAAAAAAACTGATGTTGCCCCAGATACTAAATTAGACCATCGAAAAGTCACTTGGGAAAGCTTCAAAATGAAACGGTCGGGCAGATATAAAACTACCCCCTAAAATTTGCCATTATCAAAGTAGAGATTTCGTTTTTAACTCGAAATTGACCCATAAAGACACATGCATCAATCATAGATGCTAGCGATATTCAGGAGATTTTCAAAATTTTGTTTGTACTTTTCATTCTCATATTTATTAGGCTGTTAATTAAAAGTTTTCTTGGATATTTTTGCACAAATTTGAGCTTTTGTTCATTAATTTCATTCATATTTTCAGTGTAGAGAACGCTAATACTCTGCGGGGACTAAATTCTGTACTTGATGACGTTTAGAGAAGCAGGATGTCCCATTTAAAGAAAAAACAATTTGAATCGTTTCCGGATTAGGAGCAATAGTTATCATGCTGGTTGCACAATTGTTTCAGATAATTCAGAAACAAAAAGAGACAGGCACATACACCTTTTGAAAATTAACTTAAAATTAATCGCAGCAATAAAACATGAAAAAATATATAGGGTGTGCAACTTAACATCTTCAATATGACAACCATTTGAATACGAAAGGAACGGCATCTCATAATCGTGGGTAGTTTCATATCTTTGCGTCCGCTTCAAGGTGGTTGAGTAGTACATCGTTTTGAAGCTCTCTTAAGTGGCTCTTCAATGGTCTAATTCAATATCTGGGTCAACGTCAGCTTTTTTTGAGATTCCGAAATAAATAAAACGAACATTTGGTTATTTCATTATTGGGGGAAGTTTTACACTTTCCCGACCGTTTCAAGGTGGTTGAGTGATACATTATTTTGAAGCTCTCTTCAGTGACTCTTTATTGGTATAATTCAATATCTGGGACAACGTCAGATTTTTTTGAGATTGCGAAATAAATATAACGAATTATTTGGGTTGGGTCGAGCGGAAAAAGCGTTATTTTCTGTATAGCAACATTGAACATGGTTTTTGGGAGTTCCCTTACAATATTTCCTTGCTTAATTTCCTGGAATTTCCAGAGGAACACGTTTTCTAAATTAAGGTAAATAACGAACTGGTCCACTGTAATATTTGCAAATCCGAATGAATCCAAATCCATATCTAACTTGAGCCACATGTTGAAAAGCGCCTATGAAACGCGCTTCCTGAAATATGGGATTTCAACGTCTTGAGCCAGTAAATTTTCTCACTAAGTCATTAATTTCTGATTGTGAAAAAAACTGTGGTTGCTGAGAAACATTCCATATATCACCAATGTCACATAACCTCATGCCATCTCCTTTTAAATGGACTGGATTCTCAGATATTGAGACACACTGGCCTAATTATATCCATGAACATTGCACATGCAGAAATAACAGTCATCATGGTGATTTGATGGCCCTCTCCATATCATAAGTATTAAAAAGATAGTGATCGTCTGGTTCTATTATTCCAATCTTTTTAAACCTTCTTCTGTGGTTTTTCTATTAGTTTAGTCCCTATGACTCATAAAATATGGAAAATACCAACTCAAAAAATATTTCTTGACCTGTGTAATTTTGCTTTAGGGTTGCTCCGTTTCGTATAGAAATATTTATTTATCCTTTATTTTTATGTAAGCGTTGATGCATCAAGAAATGTAATTTATTTTAGTTATCCTGTTGATGTTTGAATGTTGCCTTTTTCAGACAAATAAGAATAAAAAATTAAATCGCAAATGAGATCAGAAAACTTTCGTCGCTGACTGTTATTTATAAGATTGGAGTTACTTTTTTATTTTTTAAAAAAGAGGGGTAGTTTCGCCTCTTCCGAAAGGGCGTGCCACCGTATTTTCTGATAGCGCTATTTCGTTGCCCGTAGGTGCTGGATAAGTGGACGAGGTCGTTTTCAAACGGCGCGATGATGCAGGGTCCCGAGTCAAGAGCGCCTTCGTTAAAACAATTATCGATCGAGGTATCACAGCTCCATTATGGTTTGCTTAATCTTACATGCATGGCAACAATCCCGGGATACGTCAACGACGAGAGCGACTACGCGGACATAAGGAACGCAACAGTAACCAGTAAGAGTTTGTTATTAGAGAGAGAAAACGCGTTATGGCCTTAATATACCAGAAAGGGTAACAAGGTACGGTATTGGGGAAACGGACAGTCCAAAAAATTCGAAAGAAATTTTACTAGGTAATTCAAACAATATTTTCAAGTTTCTGAAACAACCATCAGGAGGCGTCATTGTGTTCTGTTAGTTCTCTTGAATAGAAGAAGAATAAGAACTTTATTTACCGGTAACTTTAACAAGTTAAGGTTGCGCCATCACAATAAATATTAATATATGTTAATCAGTCGTAAATATCACAGGCTATATGTTAAAGTCAAAACGATATAAATGTAAAGCAATTAAATAGAAGCACATACACATATGTATACAGAAATATCGGAGTAAATATTAGCACAGAAAAGAAAAACGTGCATACGGCTTGATTACTTTTGGCGAAAACAAAATTACTCTCAAGGTATTCCTGAACTGAATAGAAGCAATGAGCAAGTTCTTTCACTGCTCTTCTAATTTTTTTTAGAGAGGATTTTAACAGATGTCAGTAGTCTATTACCCAGTATGTAATTCAAAGAATTAGAAACAGACTTTGCCATCCTATGCGGCAGGATAATAATTAAATTAAATAAATTAAATCATTCCTAAAATTATAACAGTGATTTTTACTTGTAGATGGTAAGTGTATCTTTTTATGATGCATTTCAATTAAGGCAATATAAACAAAGATTCAAGGTAAAGGCATAATCCCGTGCCTCAAAAAGTTTTAAAATTGCCTGTGCTGCAGTACTGTGCCCCTGTAATGGAACGGCATAAGAAATTTTTGAATGAAACTGTGCAAAATAATACGTTTTACGGGTGTTGAAATTTATGTAAGAATGAAACTATCAGACTCGATAAAGCTTTAGAGAGTTCACTTGTATGGTGTGACCACAACAATTTGTCATCTGTTACCTACTTCCAACCTCGAGAGTATTTTCAAAATTTGGGGTTTATCTTTATTTAAGAGAAGATTGTTGGCACCGAACCATCATTCGCCTAGATCTAAAGCAGCATTTGAAGTGTCAGACAAAGTTTAAATGCTGCCGCTGGAGGTGCCAAATGTCGTATCATCCGCAAATGTTCCCGTTTAACAGAAATCATATAATTACTCAAATCATTCGCATATACAATAGCTGACCCAAAATTGAGCCTTAAGGTACTTCATGGGAAGCTTTGAAAGTTGAATGTTACACAAAACCAGTTGAGATCTAGTTTTCAGATAACTTTCGACAAATTTCAAATGCCCTTATTCCATAGTATTCTAATTTTTTTGTAATGAAATATCATGGGACAAGCGGTCAAAGCCCGTGGAAGAATCGCGTAATGTTATGACATTGTACAGCTCCGAGTAGAAGCCGACCACACCATGACCCTTAATAGGGCTTTCATCGTAGAATGTCCAGCACTAATACCAAACTGGTCCTGATTCAACAAATTACGTTTGTCAAAAAAATGCACCAATCTGGCTTTTATAATTTTGTCGTCAGCATAGACAATAAAAACCTACGCATGCCGGAAAATGCAAAATTTTTGGACCTATATCTCATGAACATCTAGATTAGCCTTTTCATACAACTCAATTCATAATTAAATTAAATTCAATCTGCTATGGTATTAGGACAGTTGAACGGAAAAACACTAACAGTATTATATTTCGGATCAAGAATGAAATACGGAATAATCTTTTGGGGAAAAAATAGCGCTATTCAAGACTGTTTCATAAGTCAGAAAGGAGTAATCAGAGAAATGAAATATGATAAAACGTGCCAAAATGTGTTTAAACAAATGGGAATTTTGACAGTATACGCCGTATACATATTGGAATGCCTTATGTTCCTTCACAGAAATAAACAACGACTAAATACAGAAAATTATAATGCGACATCGGAATATTACATCTATCCCTTGGATCGCTTGCAAATCACTCAAAAGAGTCCTGAGTGTAAATCTGTTTGATAAACTACCTCAATGATAGACGAATTAATAATAAGAATGCGTTTAAAAGGCAAATTAAAAAACTCTTAATTGAACTTGAACCATATAGCTTAGACAACTATCTAAATGATTGTTCTAGCAATAAGAACCTCTAGTTGTAGGTGATCTACTGGCGGGTCTTTGACATCATTTAATTTATTGTGGGTAACATTTTTTTTAATAAAGACCTATCTATCTATCTACCTATCCAAATAACGGACCGTAATTGTTAGCATTGTTGAGATCTCCCTATTTTAAAAGCAGTAAAACTCTGTTAATTTGAAATTTATATAGAAAAACGCCGGTGAGAAATATCCTATTAATCAAAATTACGTTTTCTTTGTTGAAAAAAATTCATATCCACATCATAAAGTCAGTTATTACCCCAATGTTTAGAAATGGTAAATGCTTTAGTAAAACCCATTTGTAAAAAAGGAGAAACAAATATTTTTGAGAATTACAGGCCAATAAGTCTTATATATAATGTAACAAAAAGGCTTAAAAGTTCCGCTAGTTTTTCTTTCTGATGATACAGTTTTGTTTGTTTAAGGTAACAACCGCATTAGTCCGGACTTGCAATCTATGTCACAGTGGCTTGATAATAATTTACTAACAATAAACTTAGATAAAACATAATACTTGTCCTTTTCAAATTATAATTATCGACCTGCAAACAATAAACTGACTATAAAACTATTGTTTAGAAACAGTTGCTGGTCTTTACGTAGAGCTGAGCATGTTGCCTACCTAGGAATTTTTATTGACTCAAATCTAAAGTGGAACATCCATATCGAACAGTTAGTGAAAAAGTTACGATAATTAATGTATTTATTCCGACAACTTACTAAAATATCTGATAAGCAATTACTTCTTTTTACTTATTTTTCACTGGTACAATCACTTATATCTTATGGAATAATTGGTTGGGGTACTGCCTATCGCACAACTCTTCAGCCCCTCTCCGTAAAACAAAAAAGAATTTTGAAAATTATATTTAAGTTAAATCTGCGATATCCATCTGACTTAATTTTTACTCAATTTCAAATAATTCACATAAAAAAATTATATTATAAATCATTACTGGTTAATTCAAAAACTCACGAGTATGAAACGCGCTTTAAACTTGGAGAAAATTTTAACTTTTATCTATTGGACAAAAAACTCCTTTTATACTGGTCAAACATTCCTTACAGATGTAAATCTGTCCACTAAATTCAAAATAATTTTGGTCTAAAGATACTATTAAGCAATCTAATAAATCTTGTTTCACCAATGGGTCAACCTGTAACTCTATTAATTGTTTAGACTTAACTATTACAAAAACGCAAAACAAATTAGATTTTTCTATTTATCATAAACCTTCACACACACGGACACAGTCATATATAACAGCTCAAATCACACTTATGCACACAAAATGACTGCATTTCACTCTTTTATACACAGACTTCTTAATACGCCACTCTCAACAGAAAATTACAACAAAGAACTTAATATCATTAAATAGATTGCACTGAACAACGGCTACAATCCGTCAATTATAGATAAAATTATAAATAAAAACAAATCCAGACAACAGTAAACTCTATTCGAAACCTAATACAGAATACGAACAATTTAAAACAATTGCATACATAGGAGAACCTAGTGAAAAAGTTTCAAAACATTTGTCAAAATGTAGTTTAAAAATAGCTTTCAGAACTAACAACACAATAGAAAAATTTTTAAAAAGACCATAAAACGAAATGTCCAAAATCTCAAAGATTAGGTGTCTACAGGTTGAAATGCGGATCTTGTCCTAAAATTTATATTGGACAAACAGGTAGATCCTTCAAGAAACGCATTAACGAACATAAAAGAGCGTTTAAAAACAATAATCGAGATTCTAATTATGCTACACACTAAAACACAGAAAAACACATTTTTTACGACAATTTTGATATTTTACATACAGCCACAAAAAGTAAAAAATTAAATTTATTGGAAGCCATGGAGATTAACAAAATGAGACATTCAAATGTAATGCTTATCGTTCAATTAGATTTAAATACCTCTCCTTTATTGAACTTAAATTCTCACAACAACATTAATTAATGTTTTATGGTCATTTTTCGGTATATATACTCGCAGGTAGTTTGTAAATATTATATTTCATAAAGACACGATGTTGTCGAAACAATTGTCATGTCAAAATATATAATTTCGTGAAAATCTGAACTTTTAGTTTTTATTTATTTTGATAAATGGATTTTCATCAAGTAAAAGCCACCTCAGTTCAACAAATACAAACACTGACATGACCGCCAGAATTGATAATTTTCATAGGTACAAAATACTCCTGCTAAAAGTACCAAGTTTAACATATCAGTAATGATTTATAACTCTTACCCATTAGGATAGGGGGCATAGCCTTTTTCAAGATATGGACATGTATTTTGCTTACAGAGATAGCGCAAAAGGGATGTTAATTTTTCTTACCTTTGAAATAGCTTTAACTGCGTATTTTTTTTTTCAAATTTCTAAAACCGTCCGTTTTCCTAACACTTTACGCCGTTGTCCTTACGGGGACATCCGGTATATTAAAAAAATGAACATTGGCGTTAACTAGCAGCGCAAAAGTTTTAAGGGGAATGTAAGACGTAAAAGTATTTCAATTGACGTAAGCGAAACAAGTGGGTGCATAAAATGACGCGGACCGAAGAGGGTATAGTGCTTCACAGATAAATGGTTTCGGTCTAATGACCACAACAAAAAGGGGTGTTAACCGCAGTGGTAAATTTACGTTACCAGTGCCACAGGCAGAAGTAAATTGATTATTTGAAAAGATAATAAGTTAGATAGAAGAGCGTCCTCATATTGGGTCTCATTTTATTTTAAAAAATGTATTGTTTATTTCATCACGGAAAGTGAACAGTATGGATTCGTTGTTGTTTTGTCAAATATTGATTTATGTTGTTATACAGTGCAATAATTTTAGTGTGCGCAATATGGGATTTT